AATAATACCAATAACAATAAAGCCTTTCAGGATACTGGAAATACACAGAGTGAGTGTACATATCCTGTGTATTGGTAGTACACATACTAAAAATTTAACAAACCCCTAATTATTTTAATTATTTTTCGAATTTTACTAGATCTAGTTTTAGTCAAAAGCAACTGCCTACATGTACTATCAGTCATGCATACATACATCGAACACACCTAAAGTTAACGAACTGCAAGCATCGAACTTAATACCTCAATGACTGCAAGCAACTGCAACTAAAGTTGTAGCCGGCTGACGCGTAATATTCTGATAAATAAACTAAATTTATTAGACTGGTTACCGGATCATTATTCACTTTCTTCATTTTGTAACACTTATACTGTTCTTACATCAAATTAATTTAGTTTTCTTTTTAGTTCATTTTACGTTAAATAAAAATAGACCATCCAATAGTCCGAAAACGGATGAGCAAAAATATTGAAAAGACTTATTACTGTCCGTCCACTTATTAATACATAAAACTATTATTTTAACACTAATAATTACGATCTCTCGTCCATGAGGTACAGCTCGGAGTCAGGAAATTGACGGTGTTTCACCTCCAAGCCTCGGAAATCACTTATAGCCCTTGACTCTGCACATGATCTCTCTTCGGTTGTATCTGAAGTCCCATCAGACTATGAGATCGAAGGCATATAGAGTGCACCTGTGAATGTGCACACACTAGTGCACTAGAATCCTGTTCTGCGCAAATGGCTAGTCTCCGTTGAGAGTAAATATCATTACGTAAAATAAGCACAATATCACTGATATAATAGTGGAAGGAATGAATTACTAATGGTATTTAAATAAAAATATGACTATTATTAGTTAACGCCAATATATACACAAAGTTACAAAATCCTAAAAAATATAATAAACTTAATATATAACTAATTTTACGGATTTTAATGCCATTAATTTAACTTTTAACTTCCTGACTTTTAAGGCAGTTTCCAGCATCAATGGTCACAAGGAGGACTGAGTTTTTTGCCGTCCTGATGTCATAGTTAACGAAGGCTACCTTCAACTTTTAATTATTAATTTTTGGTCCGATCTACGCAGAACGAGCTTCAGTACTAGCCTGCACTAAAGGTATCGGGAATGGAATATTTCCACTGTTCCTGTCATATTAAAATTTTTTTAATTGAAAACTCCTTGGTTTTAAAAATCGAATACCATTTATTTAATTAAGAAAAGATTCTCGGTCTGCTGTCACAAGGTTTTCTCAAACTTGTTTAGTCGTTGAGAAAATGGAATTGACTCGAGAAAATTCAAGAGCGATGATTATTATGACTTTCGAAGTGGTTTAACACAAAAACAGTGTGTTGACGATAATATATTATATTGATATAGTTAGTAAATGCAATATTAGATAATAAACTCAGATAGTTCAAATAGGTCAGATAGTTTATTATCATTAAACTGGTACAAAAACTCCCCGAGGTTCATGACCCGTAACTATAACGACATGACCCTAATAAAATTTGAACGAATACCGCTCTTATTTACCGTCATCTATAATACGTAAAAAAGATTCATCTTCTTTAATCCATAACGGCGATTTCTCCTTGTGCTTATAGCTATCGTAGCAGCGATTATCTATATGTGTACTACGTTCACTTTTTTAGAGAGGAGCATTATATAACACTGCCCTGAGTCAAGAAAGTGTTAGTGTCTCAATCAATAATTCAATAACTAGGAAATAGTAGATAATAGAAAATAATAATATGGTTAATTTAAGGTTTTGGTTAATCGTCATGCAGCATTTTAAAAGATGTGTGCATTTCTAAGAACGACCAACTCGTTTCAAGCTCGGCTCGAATTATTTTTGATGTTAAGTTGGAAACTACAGCACATATTTAAGCACATTTTTTTATTTTTTTTTATAGAATAGGGTGACAAACGAGCACACAGTCCACCTGATGGTAAGTGGTTGCTGCGGCCCATAGATATCTACATCTATCCTCCATTAAAAATCAATATGCAGATGCGTTGTCACCCGTGAGGACTGAGATGGAATGCCTCGTTTCCAGTAAAAAGGGTCTCCGGTTCTCTACACTCACCATACGAAATACAGCAGTATTAAGCTACTATTTCACGCTGGTATTCTGTGAGAGCGTGGTCCTTCCCCGGTCGAGCCGACCCATTCGTGCTACAACTACACTACTAATATAACTGCAGCATGGCTCTACCACGTATATATAACTGCAGCATGGCTCTACCACATGTCCCTCTGCAAGATGCAGGAGTGTACAAGCTTGATTGTGAATGTGGTCTCTCCTACATTGGACAAACTAAAAGATCAATAAAAACCCGCGTTAAAGAACATATAGCTGATGTGAAGAATCGACGCTCCGGGAAGTCTGCAGTCTGTGAACACGTACAGGATCGCCCCCGTCACTACATCAGATTTGATAGACCGCATATCCTCGCTAAAGAACACTGATTCCTTCCAAGGATGATTCGCGGGGCTATTGAAATCAAAAAACATCCTAATTTCAATAGAGAAGATGGCTGGGTGCTACCATCTGCTTGGGATCCGATAATAAATAAAATTAAATCCCAACCCAAGCATACAACTGCAAGACTTCAAGATACCATAAGTTCATACTGTATAGATCGGAACAAAAGTTAAATTTTAATCTATGGTAACCGCGGTTAACTATGACATATGGACGTTGAACATCTTAGTCCCGCCCGTGACCATGAGTGCTGTAAAGCGTTCGAAACGTCGGGTATTTAAAAAGTTAAATATACGCGATAAATTCCGTAAAAACTAGTATTATTTCAATACCGAAACGTTTACTTGCAATTCATTTCAAGTTTGAAAATAAATAATTAAAAATAATTAAATGTCACAAGATTAAAACGTAACAACGATCACACACTCGTACCTCGTACTCAGCACTGCCTTGAAAAAAAAACTGTCAGTCGCAGGACTGGACGTCAGAAGAGAAAATTTCTTAGCTTCACAAACTTTTAAACATTGGTTGTTTAGAAGTATTTTTAGGAAGTATTATCTATTAGAAATTATTTTTACGAACGTATTAATAAAATTTTCATTTATTGCGCTTTTTACACGAAAATGAAAGATTACTATCTATTTATGTTGGCGACGCGCCTATAAGAATATTTCAATTTATTAGTTAGTTAACCGATTACGAATAGCTTCTAAAAATCAAATTATCAAGCAACAATATTCCGATAAGAAAATGCTTAGTTGAATCTTTAAGAAATATCGAGTTAATGATATGAAGGTCTTGGGTTCGACTCCCAGGCCGGAATAGTTTATCGTTTTCTTAGTAATATCTCTTAATAAATTCATATAGGGAATTTTTAAGATATAAATTATGTTACCGGATTTGTTCCCCGGTTGAAATCATCTTTCCAATAATGTTAATTTAAAGAAATATTAAAATAAAGTTAGAGACCAGGATTTGTTCCCCGGTCGAGATGATCGCTGTGCATAAGTAGAATTAATGGAAATTAATTGCATAAGTATTGTCTTATATGAGTTTGATATGTTTTGTATGAAAACAAATGCCTATTTTCTATGATTGATTTATGAAAACATTCACTTATATTGTTTGATACGAAACATGATAACTGATAAGAATCTGATTAGAAATAGTTTTCAACGTTTGAGAATTGTGTAGAATCATTTATTCACCTGGTATTGTTGATATTAGTGTATACTAAACTTTCCATTTTTACTGACAGTCGATAGCCGTGCAAAAGTTAGTTGTTCAAATAGTGTGAGTTCATAGACGCACGCTAGCCACGTACTTAGGAGGCCAAATATGTAGAAATTTAAATAGTTGCAAATTTCAGCAATTTATGTAAAATAACTTGTAAAACATTTCAGATTGATTGTACGTGTAAAAGAGGTGAATTCTGTGTTATTTTATGTGAAAATTCCTGTGAATAAGTGAAATAATGAAAATTTTGTATAAGAAATTTAAAAGTGTTTTAATAGTGAAATGTATAGAGAAAATGTAAATTAAACTGTTGTATATAATTTCAAGTGGAAAACATTGTTTTAACTTTCTATGTTAAATATTTAAGAAATTCCAATTTTGAACATGTGAGTAAAATAAGCATATTTTGTTAAATAAATAAAGGATTTTTTGTGATATGAAAATGTAATGTATATCGTAGTATAGATATTTTTTTGTGCTATCTTTATAAGTAAATTGTATAAATGTATGTCTTATACAAATAAAGTTATTGGCAAACCGTGAGAGAGTGATAGTACAAATTGATGTAATTGAGTTGCGCAAGCGCACAAATGGCGCGGCTCACTTTCGCGTTTAGCTTCGAGGTAGTTCAGTAAATTGATTTTTCTTGCAAATCGTTCGGGAAAAGTGCAAGACCAGCAGTTAATAAGAAGAAGAAAGAAAAAGTATAGGGAAGTGATAGGGAAAAGTAATTACTCTCTCACGGAACGGTTTGAAGATAATTGCTGTTTTATTCCCAAGGAATTCTCTCCTTAAAGTGATACAGTCCATATCAAAGAATTAAGGCGTTGGGACTGGGACGACTTCGGAAGACCCGTAATCCCCGCCTGAACCTATTTTCTGAAAAGGAAGAGGTTATCGCCCTTGTGTGTTGCTCCGCTGCGGAGATCACATACGTTGTTCCCGAACCCAACGTAGGCGTTATAAGAGGCCGGATCGAGAGAAGCCTCGTTTCCTCCCTTCTGTTTCTTAGTTAACGTTTGTCTAGTTCCTTTTCAAGTGGTCCTTCGGAGCAGGATCAAGGAACCAGCTGTGGACTGCTGGTTATGGAAAAAGAAGATCTTCGGAGCCAAGTGAACTACAGCGACCGAAGGAAGCCGGAGGTTTGAGCTGAAGCAATAGGACCAAAGGCAAGAAGACCAGGCCAGCGCAGTAGGCCCATCAGGGCTTAGGCAGGACCGGACCTGGAATACTGGTAGGTACCGGAAGAAAGAAAACCGTGATTGCGGCTTGGGGCGTGTGCTCGCATGGGGCACGTATCGCAGCCAGGCGCAGGTGCCTTTTGAAGGCGCTCATCGCGACCAAGCAGGGCTTGGAATTTTTCCTATCGGGCAAGCGTGCTCGGCATTATTTTCCACTGGACGGCCAGTTGTCGGCATTTCCTGTCGGACGACCGTGTCCGGCATTTCCTGTCGGGTCATCAGAGGGTGCAAGAAGAAGAAGCATCCACCGCTGCTGCTGCCAGGCGAGGGTGCTCGTGGGCACCTGACTGCATCGCGGCCGGGAGAGGGCGCCTGGACGAGGCGTCACCGGCGACTGGGCGACGAAGCGCAGCATACATCCCGACAATCTAACGGTGCCAAACGGTCGGGCTCTGGCACAACACCTTCGGGTGGAGCAGTTCTCTCTAGCGAGACTGCGCTTGCACTACCGCTCGACTGTTTCGTCATATTCCTTGGCGGGACAGTTCCTAAACCTTTCCTCCATTCCATTCCTGCACGACTCAATCCCTGGACGGCTCACCTCGGTAGGCCCCGTTCAGGATTGATAGGGCTGATAGGGCTGTTAGGGTGGTAGTAAGGTTGTAGGGTTGGGAGATAAAGGGGTAGTGGGGTTAGGTTGGGGTGTAGAAGGGTTGTAGGTAAGGGGTTGTAGGGACCGTAGGGACAGTTAGGGACCGTAGGCCAACAATCACCTTCCTGCAAGATGAAGAAGGCACAAGACCAGACAGAGAGGAGCGAAGGAACCAGGACAAGAAAGCTAAAGAGGCGGAACCATCTGGAGCGACCACAGCTACTGCTTCGAGTGGAACAACTCCTTCAAGTGGAGCCACCACCGATACGTCCACATGCACGTGGGACTCAGGGGCGTCCATGGCAACGACAAGCAACAGGATGGACACCAGTGGTACGCAGGCCAGCACCGCACAACAATCCGTTATATCCAGGAGTGAAACGGTAGTCGAAAAAGTAGGTCAAAGGACCGAAGAAGCGGCATCGTCAAGGACAGTAATCGGGCACACTAGTGACAAAGGGTCACAGAGAGGTAGAGTAGAGTAGGTCACCGCGATCGGCGAGGCTGAAAGCCGAATTAGAGGCGCGGATTAAATTCGAACGCTCAGAGCTCGAACGAGCACAGGCAGCTGCTGCCTTAGCCAAGTCTCAATTGGAGTTGGCACGTCTCAACCGAGAAGAGGAGATCGACTCGAGTGAGGATGATGAAGAGCGGAATACTCAGGTGGAACCTTTCGTAAGGAGTTGGGTTCAACAGACCATAATGAGCGCGCCGGTTAGTGTAACGCAACCCGATATTACTGATAAGGAAGCGTGTAAAGGATCACGCCGCAAAAGGGCGGAGATCGAGCGCAACCAAGGAAATGCACAGAAAACACACGCGAGTGAGGTGTCAGAATTGACCGAAGCGATTGTGAGTGCAATAAAGATAGCGGGTAAAGATAAGTCTTCCCAGCTTCATTTCCTCCAGGAATTACCGGTGTTCGATGGAGACCCGGGTGAATGGATAGTTTTCAAAACGGTGTTTGAAGACACGAGAAGCCAATTTTCAGGGGTGCAGAATGTCGCACGCCTTAGGAGGGCATTAAAGGGCACCGCTAAGGAAGCGGTTAAGTCGTTGTTGTTTACTTTGTCTGAACCTGAAGAAATAATGAACGCTCTCGAAAGAAGATTCGGTAGGGTTGAGATGCTCATTTTAGCCGAAATTGAGAATGTAAGACGTTTGCCAAGATTGGCAGAAGATTGCCGGAATATAGGATCTTTTGCAAGTCGTATTACGAACGTGGTTGCCATAATACAAGCATTGAATCAACCACAGTATTTATACTCACCGGAGTTAGTAAACCGCATAGTCGAGAAACTTGGAACTATGATTAAATTTAAATGGTTTGAATATCGAGCTCAGCATCCTTTGGAGCCAGAGTTACAGAAGATGGCCAAGTTTTTAAATTTATTGAGTGAACAATTTGGAACGTCCTTAAGCAATGAAAATGTGCCTGAAAAACGGAAGCGTCCTGAATTCAGGAAGCAAACTGTACACACCGCAAAGGGGTCTGTACGCAACCGTTTCAAGAGCGAGCGCTATGAGCGCCGAAGTAATACGAGCGAGCGTCTAGAACGCCGAAATAATAAAGGGCACAACCGACAAGTGGTTATGATAACCCAGGATAAGCCTGTAAGTCGGGTAACACATAAGTGTGTTATATGTAACAAGGAGCACTCTATAGTGAGTTGTTACAAGTTTAAGGACATGAATAATCGCGAGAAATGGGAAGCGGTTAAAAAAGCGAAAGTATGTTTTCAATATTTGTCACCTAACCATATGAGGTTAGAGTGCAAAGGGAAAAAATGTGGTGTAAAGGGATGTAGAATGTCACATCATCGAATGCTACACCGATACCCCAATGGAAATACCTCACCGCAAGGGGACGAGGGGGGTAAAGAGGCTCAAATTACAACTGTTAGTACAGTGAATGCACTGGCATGTGCATACATAAAGATTATACCGGTCGAGTTGTATGGACCTAAAGGAAAGGTCAAGACCACAGCTCTTCTGGATGAAGGATCAACCATGACACTCATAGAGGAGTGGATGGCTCAGAAGTTAGCGCCTCGCGGACGTAAAGAAGAATTACGTATTGAAGCCGTGGGAGGTAAGCGAATTAACGACGACAGTTCGTATCGCTTAAACGTTAAGATAAAAGGCATTTACTCGAACGACTTAGAAGAGATAAGTGTACAAACAATTAAGTCACTTAACCTTTCTCCGCAGTCAGTGAGTCGAGAATTATTGCAACGGTGTTCTCATTTGACCCCGATTAAGGACGAGTTGATTTATGAGAGGTCCAGACCTACCATATTAATTGGCCAGGACAATTGGCATCTCATAGTTACTCGTGAATTAATATCAGGAGGTAAGAACCTACCTGTAGCATCGCTCACAAAACTTGGATGGGTTTTACATGGTCACATATCGGGTGGCATTAAACCAATCAAGATTGTTAACCACATTTCCACCAAGAAGGAGGAGGACATGGATAAGTTGATCAAGTATTATTTTAGTTTGGAATCTCTGGGAGTGTCTGCGCGAAAGCCCGCGAACGACCCAGAAGAACGAGCTTTAAATATTTTGAGCAAAACGGTACGTCGTATACCTAATAATAGGTACGAGACTGCTTTGTTATGGCGCACAGATAATGAGTGCATGCCGTCGAATAGAGCGCAGGTTGAAAGTCGCCTGTTTAATATCGAAAAGAAGCTCGACAAAAATAGCGAGTTGAAAAAAGAATATGAGAAGCAAATTGAAAATCTCATCGTTAACGGTTACGCAGAGAAAGCGAACCATATTTCCATTTCCCCACGCACGTGGTATCTTCCTCACTTCGCAGTGACTCATCCACAAAAAAGGAAAATAAGAATAGTTTTCGACGCCGCCGCTAGGACGGGCGGACGTTGTCTTAATGATGCATTGTTAACCGGACCGGACTTATTGAAGTCGTTATTTGGCGTTCTGCTACGATTCAGAGAAGGAAGCGTGGCAGTGATGGCAGACATTAGAGAAATGTTCCTGCAAGTGAAAATCCGGGAAGAAGACAGGGATAGCCTTCGATTCTTATGGCGGCACAAGCGTGACGCGCCACCGGAAGAATATAGAATGACGTCACTCATATTTTGAGCGGCATCATCACCATGTATCGCTATGTATGTGAAGAATAGGAATGCGCAGGATAACGCACATATCTATCCAGAAGCAGCTTCCGCTACGGAAAGCAATTTTTATATGGATGACTATCTACAGGCATTTCCCGACGTGACGACGGCCGAAAGGATAGTAAACGATATGTATGAATTACATAAACGTGCTTCTTTCCCAACTGAGGGGATGGGCTAGCAACCGACCCGAAGTTTTATGTAAAATGGAAAATAAATATAAGAGCGACAGTGCTTCACTGGGAGATAAGGAGCACACAGAACGCACTTTAGGTTTGATCTGGAATATCGAACGGGATATAATAAGTTTCTCCATAAGTCTTCGTAACACACCGGAAGAGGTGATGGAAGGTTTACGACCGCCTACGAAGACGGAGATAACTAGTGCTGTGATGTCGGTCTTCGATCCTTTGGGTCTCGCATCACCCATAACGATTCAAGGGAAGTCGCTGATCCAGCGAGTATGGAGGACAGGCATCTCTTGGGATGAAGAAGTTACACACGAATTACACGTGTTATTTTGTAAATGGATATCGGAAGTGAAGAAATTAGGTCATTTGTAAGTACCTAGACCCGTTGCTGAAGGCGTCGGCAAGGGAGAATTACACACCTTCACGGATGCTAGTGAAAAAGCATACGCTGCCGCGGTGTATTACGTCATCACGGACGAGCTAGGAGAAAGGCGGATTACGCTGATCGCCGCAAAGGCAAGAGTAGCGCCGCTGAAACCAATTTCTATTCCAAGGCTTGAATTGCAAGCAGCTCTTATGGGCAGCAGATTAGCTGCATCAGTTATTGAAGAGAGCAAGTACGAGATATCCGAGAGAGTATTTTGGACGGACTCACGTACAGTGTTAGCGTGGATTAAGTCAGATCCTCGCGCTTTTAAACAATTCGTTGCTCATCGATTGGCTGAGATCGAAGATCACAGTAAACCATGTGAATGGCGATGGGTTCCAACGTCACAAAACGTGGCAGACGACGCCACTAGAAATTTTCCTTCCACCTTCGATGTAAGTCATCGCTGGTTTCAAGGACCTGAATTCCTCAGGAAAAGTCCTGATTTATGGCCCAAACAAGTGGACACCATAAATAGCTTAGAAACAGGTGAAGAAAAATCGCCAAAAGGCGTAAATGCGCTGAGAAAGCAAGAACCGTTGAGTCTACCCGACTACGGACGATTTAGCAGCTTTAAAATATTCCTTGGGGAAACTACACGCACCTTACAAGCGGTAGAAAAATTCAAGAGTTTAAGAAAGTCGGTTAAAGGACCCGACAACGCAGCCGAAAAGTCGGTTATGTGTTCCAACGAAGTTTTGCAAAGTCGGTTAAAGGACCCGATAGCGCGTTGGACATAGCGCTCTTAAAAAAAGCTGAATTATTAATTTGGAAGTTCGTTCAAGACGAGTGTTTTCATTTGGAAATAAAATGCTTGAAAGCAGGCAAAAGCGTTGAAAGAAGTTCACGCTTAAGTAAATTATCTATGGAAATAGGAGAAGATAACTTACTCCGTTTAAATGGGCGTTTACCTTTTAAGTCTAATTTGACCGAGGAAAGTAGAAAACCTGTCGTATTAGACGGTAAACACGAAATCGTTAAAATGATGATTAGAGAAGTTCATCATCATTTTGGACATGCCAATCACCAGACGGTGATGAATGAGGTGAACCAAAAATTTTATGTCTTGAACCTGCGTAATGTAGTACGAAGTGTGTCACATCATTGTCAGTGGTGCAGGACATACAGGTCAAAACCGCAGAACGTGCCACTAGGAAATATTCCTCTGGAGAGAATAGCTCACAATGAACCACCTTTTACATGCTCAGCCGTAGATTATTTCGGACCTATGAGTGTGACTATAGGAAGGCGACACGAAAAACGTTGGGGTGTTTTATTTACGTGTCTGACCATCAGAGCAGTACACCTAGAATTAGCAGCCTCATTGACACCAGCGTCAATGATAATGGCATTGAGGCGATTTATCGCCAGACGAGGAAAACCAGCCGTTATATACAGCGATAACGGGACAAATTTCAAAGCTGCGAATAAAGAATTATTGAAAGCATGCGAAGAATGCTATGAGGGCATGAAAAATGAGTCATTTAAAAAATATATTAAATGGAAATTTATACCTCCGGGAGCACCGCACATGGGTGGCGCCTGGGAGAGGTTAGTAAGATCAATTAAAATTGCGTTGACCGCTACGCTCAAAGAAAGGAGCCCGCGAGAGGAGGTTCTGCATACGTTGCTTTTGGAAGCAGAGCATACTGTAAATTCCAGACCTCTGGTAACATTCAGTATGGATAGTCCTGAAGAGGGTTTGACACCCAATCATTTTCTTCTGGGACGCTCATGTGGTGATCGACCACCTGGATTATTTTTAGAGCAACATCTGACGGGTCAACTCAATTGGAAATCTGCACAGAGGTTAGCCGACCATTTTTGGACAAGATGGCTAAAAGAATACATGCCTACTTTAATACCTCGAACAGGTAATAACGGAAAGTTTATGGAGCCTAAAGAAGGTGATATTGTCTTGATAATAGATCATTCATTGCCACGAAATACGTGGCCGAAAGGCAAGATTAGTAGGACGCTACCGGGACCAGACGGTCACACTAGAGTGGTTGACGTCATTACTAGCACAGGTATCTTGAGGAGACCTACATCCAGAATAATAGTCCTGGTACCCGCGACGCCTCCCAAATGATGGTGCTGATGCATGGGGGGGGGAGATTGTTGGCGACGCGCCTATAAGTATATTTCAATTTATTAGTTAACCGATTACGAATAGCTTCTAAAAAGCAAATTATCAAGCAACAATATTCCGATAAGAAAATGCTTAGTTGAATCTTTAAGAAATATCGAATTAATGATATGAAGGTCTTGGGTTCGACTCCCAGGCCGGAATAGTTTATCGTTTTCTTAGTAATATCTCTTAATAAATTCCTATAGGGAATTTTTAAGATATAAATTATGTTACCGGATTTGTTCCCCGGTTGAAATCATCTTTCCAATAATGTTAATTTAAAGAAATATTAAAATAAAGTTAGAGACCAGGATTTGTTCCCCGGTCGAGATGATCGCTGTGCATAAGTAGAATTAATGGAAATTAATTGCATAAGTATTGTCTTATATGAGTTTGATATGTTTTGTATGAAAACAAATGCCTATTTTCTATGATTGATTTATGAAAACATTCACTTATATTGTTTGATAAGAAACATGATAACTGATAAGAATCTGATTAGAAATAGTTTTCGACGTTTGAGAATTGTGTAGAATTATTTATTCACCTAGTATTGTTGATATTAGTGTATACTAAACTTTCCATTTTTACTGATAGTCGATAGCAGTGCAAAAGTTAGTTGTTCAAATAGTGTGAGTTCATAGACGCACGCTAGCCACGTACTTAGGAGGCCAAATATGTAGAAATTTAAATATTTGCAAATTTCAGCAATTTATGTAAAATAACTTGTAAAACATTTCAGATTGATTGTACGTGTAAAAGAGGTGAATTCTGTGTTATTTTATGTGAAAATTCCTGTGAATAAGTGAAATAATGATAGTTTTGTATAAGAAATTTAAAAGTGTTTTAATAGTGAAATGTATAGAGAAAATGTAAATTAAACTATTGTATTAGTTAAGATATGTATAATTTCAAGTGGAAAACATTGTTTTAACTTTCTATGTTAAATATTTAAGAAATTCCAACTTTGAACATGTGAGTAAAATAAGCATATTTTGTTAAATAAATAAAGGGTTTTTTGTGATATGAAAATGTAATGTATATCGTAGTATAGATATTTTTTGTGCTATCTTTATAAGTAAATTGTATAAATGTATGTCTTATACAAATAAAGTTATTGAGCAAACCGTGAGAGAGTGATAGTACAAATTGATGTAATTGAGTTGCGCAAGCGCACAAATGGCGCGGCTCACTTTCGCGTTTAGCTTCGAGGTAGTTCAGTAAATTGATTTTTCTTGCAAATCGTTCGGGAAAAGTGCAAGACCAGCAGTCAATAAGAAGAAGAAAGAAAAAGTATAGGGAAGTGATAGGGAAAAGTAATTACTCTCTCACGGAACGGTTCGAAGATAATTGCTGTTTTATTCCCAAGGAATTCTCCCCTTAAAGTGATACAGTCCATATCGAAGAATTAAGGCGTTGGGACCGGGACGACTTCGGAAGACCCGTAATCCCCGCCTGAACCTATTTTCTGAAAAGGAAGAGGTTATCGCCCTTGTGTGTTGCTCCGTTGCGGAGATCACATACGTTGTTCCCGAACCCAACGTAGGCGTTATAGGAGGCCGGATCGAGAGAAGCCTCGATTCCTCCCTTCTGTTTCTTAGTTAACGTTTGTCTGGTTCCTTTTCAATTTAATACAAACAAATTTATAAATAAATGAATTTTTTGTTTTTGTTTTTTTACTATGGAAAGTTTACTTCAAATTAGTTAGTATTATTGCTAGATCAATTTCATAATATGTTTAATGAAGAAAAAAATATGTAAAATATAATTGCCAAAGGCACTCCCTTCACCTGTTACACCCAATTTTTTTTCAGACGGTAAAAAAGTCATTCTGTATATTTGAGCGTGACGGTCACGCGTGTTTAGTGCTTTTTCCCCGCCTCAAAAGTTTTCACTTCATAATGGACATTAGAAATACATAAAAAAAATACTTATACCAAGACCTTTGGATCAGTAGTCAAGTGTGTTATAATACCGCACGTCCCACTCTGGCTCGATATATTAGAACTCCATGTATGTTGCTGGAGACTGTAGATAAGTAGAGACCGACAAGTCATCCAAAACAAAAGACTTGAACGAATGCTTTGTATTAATTTTGTATATACCACTTCTTTGATGTGATTTTATAATAGGACTCATATTTTCGTTAAATATTAATGCCTAGCGGACCGAATATCGGTTACGGCTGCCAGTCTCAACGGAAACTAGCCAGCTCTAAATCTGCGCAGGATAGGATTATATTGCACCTAGTATGTGGGCAAGTACTAGTGCCCTCTTCCTTCACTTTCACAGTCCGATAAAATAACAGTCCTACATGTCCTGAGAGAGATCATGCGCAGAATAAACGGCTCTCTTTTAGGTACTAATAGCACAAATGAATTAAGTAATAATTTATCTACAGAAATAATACCTACGTACTTTATTACAAAATTTAGTTGAAATTTACATCACTATCCAAGTCTCTACTTACATACCTATACTTGTGTTTTGTAATTAAAATATTTTAAATTATTATAACACAAAATACTGGAATTAAAACTTTGTTTACTAACAAGATTTTTAACCCTATCAAGTAATATATGGGGGAAGCCCATGGATTGCCACTTAAGGAGTATTTTTAGCTCAGGACCATGTCTATGGCATTCCATGGGAGACACCCATATTCAGCAGTAGACTTGTGCAGGGCTGAATTAATGAACCGAAAATAAAGTTTGCGTTGTGCTCACCATAACTAAACACGGATCCTGCTCTTCAGTTCCAAATGGATCCTATATTAGTAAAAATATATCAATTGCTGATTTTTGGGTTGGATAATACCTGGAGATTTTCTAGGTGTTCCTAATACTAAGTACAAAACTAGCTCCTGTCGTATCCAATCTAACAGGTAAGGGTAAGAACAAGCATCAAGCTCTAAACGATAGTAAAATCTCGAAAATTAAATATCGTTACTTCAAAATAGAAGAAGTTAGACGAAAGAAACCAAGCTCAACTTTTTGCTCAAGTTTCTTTTTCGTTATTTGTCAGCTTGTCAAAGTTAACTGCTAGTCGCACACATATGAAAGTTAAACCATGTTCTTAAGTAAGTTGAGCATGGTAATTCTTGATTTTCGCATTAATTGTTTACCACCGGCGACTTTTCCGGACCAATACGACTTAGGCGCCTTCAAGAAAAAAGCTTTCTCCTTTCTAAAAGGCCGGCGATGCAACTGCAATTCCCCTGGTGTTGCGGTTGTTCACGGGCGGCGGTAGTCACTTACCATCGGGTGAACTGCATGCTTGTTTGCCCCCCACTTCTACAGAAAAATTGAAGTGTACGTAGCACTCACACAGTAGTAAATTTTTTTTTACAATTAAATAAGCGAAAACCTTTACATTTTAACGTAATGGAAAATTTTGAGACATTGCCTCTAGAATTTCCCTCAACAAGATTTAAGTGCTTCCATCGACGTTGTCAGAAATATTTAATTTGGATATTCGAGATTATCTGTATGTACTTACGTTATCATTACGTTTCATTCGAAACATTTGGGACTTAATTAACTATGTTAAAATGTGGGATACTGTAACACGACGTGTCTCCATAGAAAGCGGTGGCTGAGTGGCGTCGAATAGGAAGCACGGAAAAGACAATTTACTCGTACATGGAACCAGTTTCCTCCACTCGCCCAAAGGTACCGGTCCTGCACTTTGAACACGATTATGATACACAACTACACATTAATAAACACTTTCTTCAAAGCTCTTTCGTAGCTTACAAGCATCCAAACTTAGATACCGTTAATATGACTTACAGTTACAGAATTCCAATTTAATTAATAACGTTCATAGTCATTTTAAATACTCGAACCGATAACATCCCGTAAGTGTCGTAATAGGTGACAGAGGGAAATGATATAGGAGATTGACAGCATATTCCTGAGAACAATTCAAGAATAATAAAAACGTGGCAAGTGGTTTGAAAACCGGAGTTTCTTCCAACATCGATTACTATCAAAGATGATTTCTAAGGATTTCTAAATTGAAAAACATCCTAATTTCTGAATTGAAAGAATGAAAATTTAGCTTGCTGCTATCATCTATTAATCATAATTAAATTTAATCTGGTAGTTTGGATTACCAAACCCGCAAAAATAAAAATGTATATATAGACTTCAAGATCAAACACTGAAAGTTCTGTTGAATAAATGTTGAATTTCAAATTTTATATTTTTCACTCATATTTACTAACACAATCAAAGACGCTCATTGATACAATCACTACCTATTAAATTTTTGTCGGAAAGTCACAAGTAGAGGTACGTCATCGGTAGCAAAAATGGAATTAACCCGACAAGATCATAAGGCGATATTTTTAATGATTTTAAAAGTTCACTCTCTCCGCAAGTTTGCACTATTCGTTTTGTTAGTTTGATAAATACTTTTGGGAAGGAAGCGCCTCATTTGGGCGGCGTTGGTAATTTGTTGCCGTATTTCTCTCTAGAATGAAATTTGTGAAGGTAGACCTTCAACTGCAATCATTGAGGAAAGTGTGACTACTGTCAGACGAGCAAACCGGCGCACTTAGTACGAGTATATTCGAGGATATGTTAGTATGAGGCAAATAAAAAAAAATGTCAACATTTAAAAGTTAGAAAAGTTTGTTGCCACTTGATTCCTCATGAACACATCCAAGAGAGAAAACGATCTCGAGTAAATTGTTGTAAAAAATGCTGTTAAATTATGATCACGGACGTTCAATGTTGTTTATGAGGAGATAAAACGTAAACAAATTGTTTTTCCAAAATTTCGAGATAACAAAAAATTCCGAAAAGAAAGTAACAATCTTCTATATGGGTGTTCGAAGGCGACAGAAAACTAGCAAAATTAAAGCAAGCAAGTAGGGGGGAGGGCATAAAAATATTGCGTTTTTTTCCTCACAAACGGGTCCTGTTTGCACGATCCCACTTGATAAGCATGCTGAG